GCATAACTTGGGTTTAAGCTGAACGAGCTCTGAGAGCTTCTCTTTTAAGGTTCTTAGGGGTCTGATAATGTCACCTTTCAGCCATGGAAACACGTTAAATTTGCAGCAGTTTTATCCCTTTTATAGACATATTTAGCAGCTGTGAGTTAATTAACAGGAAATAAATACAGAAAACATTGTTTAAATTCTATGAGGCAAATTCAATATGTTTTAGTGGTCACGTGTTACAACGGCTTCAAACAATGTTCCTCTGTTTTTGCACTGACTTTGCGTTAATTGAAAGAACTATATATTTTTTTAATCCCCCGGTTGTTTTTATATATTATGGCATTTTTCGGATTATAAGGCACATTAAGTGAAACAAGTTCTTTTTGACAGATTTTTGAGCGCTGTGTACCAAATAATATCCGTTCGAGGTCAATAAGCACAACCAGAATTAATACATAAGGCTCACTGTCAGTTGTTGAGAAATTTAAAGGATTTTAAGTGCACCTTATAGTCCCCAAAATACGGTACTGTAAGCATAAAGTGCATTTTTAAATCAGGATACAGTGTTTGGCACCACACCCACCCGCGATGTGAAAAACTGCGAAGTAGGGATGCAGTAGTTCAAGTTCAGTAAACTTTGTCAAGACATGTGCCAGGCTGTAATCACACTCACTCATCACCTGCTACTTCCAATCTCCCTTCTTAAATAAACAATTTAAAATTTAGATACTGTACCATTTTAAATAAACAATCCACGCAGCGTGGATTGTTTATTTTAAGTTGGAAGACAAAAGTCGATCGGTGCGTCTGGACATCAAAGGGTTAACCTTCAAAAAGCTGCAGCAGGAGAAATGTGTGCATGGCAGAGAAGGAGATCAGCTGATCAGCTGCAGGAGGGAGCTTCCCCCTGCACTTGTGGGCCACACACATGCTGCAAAATCATTTAAAATAATTTATTTTAAATTAACAACCCATGGCTCATCCACCAATCAGCCAATCGTGTCATGTCCAATCTTACTTTGAAAAAAAACGCAATTTAGCAAATCCACGCACGATAAACAAACCGTGAAGTAGTGAGGGACTACTGTAGCTGGAAGTGTATTTTACATTTAGTGGCATGCTAAATATCACATTTGTTCTTTATTTGCACACACAGAACATGTGGTACTACAACACGTGTGTGTGTGTGTAGTACTGAGGACTCCACACCTGCAGCTTGAAAATAATCAAACTTCATGACTCCAGCCTGGATCCAACAGAGAAGTTTCCACTGAGTCCAGTCTTCTCAGCAGGTTCGTTTCTGCTCCTTTGGAAGCCGTCAGTGTTAAAACAGACTCTGTTGTTGTTTCAGCAGCCGGCTGCACTCGTTCTCAGTCAGTTACACGTGCACGCCTGAAAATATGGTGAAATTATCACCTGCCACCGAAAGGTGATGATGATGATCATCATTTTTTATTTCAGACAGACATTTCACCAACAAAACATAATAATAAAGACTTTAATGCTTCTAAGTGTAAATACAATATCTTATTATTAAATATATATACTCAGTTTTTATATACTCAAATACATGTAAATACTCCACTTTTTTGGTGACCGAGTCTGAAAAGGAGTATGATGAAGTTTAACTTATATAATCATACCCCTTTTCCATTCATTAGTTCATATTATAAATAGTCTTCCTGTTGCCAGTATGCTTTCCAAAAATAATAATGATAATAATAATAAAAAGTAATAATAATAATAATAACTATAATAATAATAATAATAATAATAACTATAATAAGGTGAGTGTGGAATGTGAAGTCTTGTCCATGCCCAGCGTCTATCTATGCTGTTAGTAAAATATCTCATGAATCCCTGATCAGATTTTAACGAAACAGTCAGAAAGTAATTATTGCGTCATCTACATCTTGGACTGACTCTCATTTGACGACAGACGCAAGCAAATTATTATAACTTCCTGTTTTACAGACATTGAGCTAAATGTTGGTACTTGAACACAAAAGAAGATTGGATTGTTTAAAGTCTGCTCTCATCCGATGGGTAAAGTTCAAACAGTTTGTGTCCAGGACGTGAGGTGTCTGCAGAGACACTTGCTGCCTGTTTCCTGACCCTGCACCTGCAAAAGTCTTGAACGGAGGCGAAAATCAGCGCAGCTGCTCCTCTCTGGTGGCAGAGCCAAACCAGGCAGTGATGGACTGAATGAAGGAGCTGTAGAAGATGTCCTGCAGCTGCTGTGGCAGGAGGTGACACTTGATGAGTTCATGAGACTTCTGCCGAGTCTCCTTCATGACATCGTCTACACTCAGATCCTAACTAGTGGACATGAAAATGAGTGGAAATCTTTAAAAGAAACAGAAAAGACAAATGAACAGTGAATGCAGATGTTGTGGTACTCGCCTCAGTCAAACGGGCCAACATGAACAACACTGATGACCCAACTGTCTGTCGACAAATGCCCAAAACTCTTTCTATTAAAGCTCCAGCAGACGAGATCTGTGGACGTGTTGTGCTCCTGTTTTGTGCTCTGTCTCCCTGGGCTCATTAAGAATGGATGCTTCTTAATATATTTTTCATCAAGGAGCTTGTTCTGTAATTCCATCACAAAAGAAGTTATGTTAGTTCCAACAATGCATGGGCGCGTTGCTGATTTATGGCTCTTGTACCTTATTAAAGTGAATAAAGAGACTCACGAGCAGAATCCTGACACTGTGATGTAAAGCACCCTCCACTTTGCTGCTTTAACTCAGTTATTGCTGTGCAGTTATTTGCATGCTCCCATTTGTCCACTGTGATGTAACCAAACATTGTTTGTAAAGAACAGAACGGTAGCTAGATTTGGAGCGTCTGCATTAAATCTTCATGCGGCCTTGCATTAAAGGACACACCACACGCCGCTGTAGCTGTAGTTATGAGTGCAAGCAGCTGCAGCTCCTTTCAAATGAAAGACGCTCTGCTGTCTTCAGGGACGAATGTCTCAGCGTGACCTGCCAGTGGCCTTCACTCACCCCCAGGCTGCAGCTCACGCCACCCCGTGTTCAGACCAGCAGATGCAAACACGGACTGTATGTGAACACAAACGGTGCTGCGGCTGCCGTTTCCTTCACTGATTTTATGTTGGCGAGTCAAAGCAGCTGCGATTTATAGAAATAAAAATTCCCTGTTTCATATTTGAAACAAGTCATTTGAAAAGAGAAGGGTCTGAAAAGTCACAGTTTCTACACATCCTGCATATAGATTACCGTACGTATAAGTCGCATCAGTCCAAATATGTCTAATAAAGTGGAAAAAAACATAAATGCGTCACTTTGCCATACCAGTCGCACCAATTATGCGTCACCGCTGACAAGTCGTGTTTGTTACATGTCACCGCCGACAACCTGGAAATGTGGGCCATTGGCTGCCATGTGGCGGCCGCAAGAGTGTGTACGGGAGGACTTTAACAAGACTTTAACAAGATTAACACTTAAAAACTATTTGTTTGCTCAACATTATAGTAAAGGTGTGTCTCAGTCTAACTTTTCCTTAATAAATGCACTTTGACGGTCAAATCGGCTGCATTTCAAAAGCTGATTTGCAGCTGCGGGAGAGCGCAGAGGGACGGCTTGCTGTCCATTTCTTCAAAGTTTAAAAAGATAACCACCTAAAAAGAATTATTTGTTTGCTTTAGTTTATAGCAAAGGTGTCTCAGTTGAATTTTTACTTAATAAATGCACTTTAATGGTCAAATCAACTGCACTTCACCTGGGCGATGCGGCGAAATGCAATTGATTTGACGTTTGCTCCAGTTCTGTAGCGAGACGAAGGTGGCTTGTATGGCAAGCCAAGTGTCTCATTAATAGCCACTTTTACCTATTAATGAGGCACTTGGCTTGCCATATGACCCGAGGGCCCTCTAGTGGCTAAAAATGGTAGTGTTCAATATTTTCCACATCAGAATGAGTGAAATCGTCAAACCTCAGCCAAAAACTGGATTATAAATATGAGGAAAAAAGCATAAATATGTCGCTTCACTGTATAAATAGCAGGCATGCTAATTTATGCAAAAAACTGTGACTTGTACAGCAAAACATATGGTAGTTACTGCTGTAAGACTAGAGTCCTTTGCACAGCAGTAACCATAAAGTTCATCTTCACATGTAGAATCACTACAAGTGGACGCTGTTGTTCTGTTTTCAACCTTCTGAGATTACTTTACGATGCCTTTAACCTCACAGTAATCCTAAAGTTAAATTAAAAAGTCTTAGAAGGCTTTTAACAAATGAAATTAACTTTTATTTTAAGTTTTAAATACAAAAAATAAAAATAAACATTCCAAGTTCTGTTTGTCTTTAAGCATTTGTGCCCTTATTGGTGTGACTGGTGTCAACATCTGGAGCTTGGTCCAGGCGTAAAGGTTTTTACTTCAGTTTTTACTTTTTTATTTTTCTGGGTGAAACTTGTTTAAAAAGAACTTGTTTTGGATTTCTGCACATTCTCTCTTTTTGTTTTCCCTGAAGTTTCACTTTTATGAATTCAGGGACTCGGGGACCAGATGTGGCAGCGCTCCGAAATGTGATTTATTTTATTATTATTTTTTCAGTTTTCACTTTTCATGGATTGAATGAGAGATTTTAAATAAAACCTTTCCACATCAGTCAATGTTGCTTTACATTTTTAAATGAAGTGCTAACAATTTAAATAAAAACAATAAAAATGCAGTTTATAGTTTGATTAATTCAAGTTTTTGGTAATACTGGTTTTAGTTTGCATCTCTAAAATAACCATTATTCTGTCATTATAGTCTGAACTACTGTAATATTTGCTCAAATCACATTGTTTTGGCCACAAAATGGGTCTGTAAGTAGCACAACTGCATCAATCAACAATATAGTTCCTTAAAAAAATAAACAAAATTCAGAATTTTTACTTGTGTTTACAACAGAAGTTGTTTGGTAGAACTTGAGGATCTCACTCTTTCTGAACCCATGTTTGTGCATTGAATTTTTATTTATTTATTTTTGATGCAGGTACACCCTTTGCTGATGCGCGAGCGGCGCTCAGAGACCCACAGGAACAAGTTACTGCGGCGGACTGTCAGCGTTCCTGTTGAGGGAAGGCATCACCCAGAGATGGGTAAGCAGATTGTTTTCTAAGTCAATGTTGAGTGGCATTTTTTCCTAAAGAAAAGTTGTTTTTTTATGAGATGATGCTTCTTTTTTTTTGTTTGTTTTTTGTCAAAATGATGGTCTATTTGAGACTAATGTGAAGGCGTAGCACTGAACATTAACAAAGGTGTGTTCTAAAAATCTCCATATTCTGTCGGTGGAACGCTCTCTTGGGGTTGGAGATGAGTCTCTGCCTTCAGTGAAGGAGTCCAAGTATTTGAGAATCTTGTTCATGAATGACAGCAGGGTGAGGTAATGGGAGATGGATCAAAGAATCAGGGCCTCATTTGCAGAAATGAGGGTGTTGCTCTGGTCCGTTGTGGTGAAGAAACAGCTAAAAGGTGAAGCAATTTCCTGTTCCATCTACGTTCTAAACCTCACCTGTGATTGTGAGGTATGGATCATGACCAAAACAACTAGATTCTGCATACAAGCTGATGAAATGAGCTTCCTCTGTAGGATGTATGGAGAAGAGCTCCAATTATTCTGGCGAAGCTCGGAGTAGGGCCGCTGCTCCTCCTCATTAAAAGGAGTCAGCTGACATGGTTCATCCATCTGATTAGGAAGCATCCTGCCTGCACATCTTAAAGGGAGGAGACCCAGAAATTTCTGTAGGGATCTTATTTTCTGTCTCATCTGGGAATGCTTTGGCATCCTACAGGAAGTGTTAGAAAACGTTTCTGAGGAGATAGATGAGGGTTTCCCACAGATGGATTGGATGGATGGATGGATGAAGGATGGATGGAAGGATGGATGGATGGACAGAAGGATGGATAGATTGAATGGATGGACAGATATATTGGATGGGTGGAGGATGGAGAATGGATGGATGATGGAGGATGGATGGAGGATGATGGAAGGATGGAAGGATAGATGGCCAGATGGATAGACAGACAGATGGATTGGATGGAGGATGGATAATGAATGATGGATTGATGGAGGATGATGGATGGATGGATGGATGGAAGGATGGATGGATGGACAGAAGGATGGATGGATGGATGGACAGAAGGATGGATGATTGAATGGATGGAAGGATGGATGGAAGGATGGGTTAGATGGAAGGATGGTTTGGATGGATGGATGGATTGGATGGATGGATGGATGAATGGATAGATGGATGGAAGGATGGATTGGATGAACGATGAATGGACAAATGGATGGACAAATACATGGATGGATGATGGATGGATGGAAGGATGGATTAGATGAATGATGGATGGACAAATGGATGGATGGATGATGGAAGGATGGATGGATGGATGGATGGATTAGATGAACGATGAATGGACAAATGGATGGATGGATGACGGATGGATGGATGGATGGATGGATGGATGGTACTAAACTATTGGTGGTTACTAAGCTAGCCACAAGACTGAAGTATTTTCTCACGGTGTTCTGATGTAAACGAACAAACAACCCACACTGTGTAAAACTGAAAAGAACAATTTTAAAGATTTATTAGCACCTGGTCAGATCTGCTTAGCAGAAGAATCAAAAATGAAATGTACTTTTATAATATCCTGATGCATGTACTTTTATAATCTGTCGTGAATGTTTCTGATAAATCTATGAATGAGCCTTTCTTCCATTCACCTCCACGTCTCCATTGGCCATTTTGAGTTTTCAAAGCAGTTACCTTTGTTGCTTCAGGTCAGGTTGCATAGCAACCAGATGGTGCGATGCTTTTGGAAACACGCTTTTGGAGTTATTATTCTCTCCCACAAGCACCACTCACAGCAGCACCTGAGCACCATTTATTTTTACCTTTCTATTATTTAACAAGTTTTTGTGTAAATACTAAAAATACTTCATATAATGAGTTTTGCTTCTGCATTTCTTATTAGCGAATGGGATTCATTTTGTCTTTACCCTTCCTGAATCAGATCCTTCTTGAATGTTTTCAAACTGACCCCAGCGCAGCAGCTTTTCTGCGTTGTCTTCGTCTCACTGGGACGTGCAGACACGTCCCCATCACTCCGTCTCCTTCCTTCACCTCTTTGTCTCACTCAGCTATTTTCAGGCCGTCCCTCATGGTGTCCTCCTCCTTCGACTCTGCCGCCTCTTTGTGAACCACGAGCGCTGATTCAACTGGATAAACATTTCCTTTGGTTCTGACCCCGGTGGCAGTCTGGGCTCAAAGCAGCCACTCTGACATGTTGACAAGGCCCGATACGCTGACACTCCGATGCCAGTTTAGATTACCGGCGTGACTGCGCATCATAAACACACTCAACAAAACAGGAAACTGATGCTGCTGCTGGAAATCTGCACTGCCCACGCCTTTGGGCCAGGCGGCACTCAGTGCTCATGTAGCTAACGAATGGAAGCTGTCTCAAGACCAGACTTTGGTTTATCACAGCTATGAACCTCCGTTTATAAAGTTATTTACATAAAACGCAAAGTTGGTGCTGAGTTCAAGACAGTTTGCTGCCCAGATTGTTTAACAGCCTAAATGTTTATGAAGCATTTATTCTATTGTGGTCCATTTTTATTCCAAACATTTTTCAGCTCGATTCTCGTCCCGTAGTTTTTATGCTATTTCAACAAATCATAAATCAAAACGTTCAGCTCTTTCAGGACAACCCTGCTATGACTTTTGGTATTGGTGCAACTTTTGTTGTTTTTTTTAATATTTAGCCTTTTCTGCCACTTTTTTCTCATTTGACCTCCTTCATATCTTTAAATGTGTTTACTACCTTTTACTGCTCCTTTCACATTTTATTCTGCTTTTGCTTCTTTCAACTTCCTTGTGCAAATTATTTTTTTTAATCTAATTTCAGCTAATTTCACCTGTTTTTTTTATCTGTTTGTGCTTCTTTCAGATTATTTCTGCTAACAAACATTTTTGTGATTCTTCTAACTTTCTACTAATTTCAGCTTGTTCTGCTACTTTCAGCTTTTTTGACTATTTCAGCTACTAGCTGTTTTGATGCTAATTAAAGCTTTTTCAGCTAATTCCACATTTTTTTGCACTTGGTTAAACTTTTTTTCAGTCTAATTCAGCAAAAATGTGCTCTCTACTTCCTACTGGTAATTTAAGCTTTTTTTTCTGCTGTTTTAACTTCTTTTCAGCTGTTTTTCTTTTTTCTTTTTCAGATAATATCCACTTTTTGTGCTCATTTCTGCTTCTTTCAGCAGACGTGCACTGCTTTCTTCTGCTAATTTAAGCTTGTTTTACCTTTTCAGCTGCCTTTTTAGCATAGTTTAGCTAATTTCAGCTGTTTTCGGATAAATTCACATTTTTCTTGGTAATTTCTGCTTCTTTCAGCCTAGCTAACTTCTTTCTGCTAATTTCAGTTTGTTATTCCCCTTTCAGCTTATTTCTGCTAGTTTCTGATTTTTCTGGTATTTCAGTTACTGTTTAGTTGTTTTTATGCTAAATTTAGCTTTTTCACCTAATTCTACATTCTTGGAGCTCATTTAAGATCTGTCCACTTCCTTCTAGTTTAAGCTCTTTCTACTTTTTCATCTACTTTCAGCTATTTTTTTTGCTAATATCAGCTTTTTTTAGTTAATGTCCTAATTTTTGTGATAATTTCTGCTTATTTAAACCTAATTCAGCAAATATAAGTTGTTTCCACTTTCTTCTGCTGAGTCAGGCTTGTTGTTCCAGTTCAGCTACATTTCAGCATGTTTTTAGCTAATTCCAGCTGTTTTTAGCAAGTTCTTCTGCAACAAGCATTCACACTGCATTTTCGCAGGAAATGCATTTTCTCTAGTTTATAAACTGATACTGGGTCTGAATGATGTTACTTTTGAAGCTACTTCTAAAAGTTTAAATAACTGACAACAAAGAGTCCAGATGTTTCTAATGATTACACATCGGTGCTGTCAGGGCTGTTATGGAAGAGACTTCTAGGAAACAGGTCAAGAAGTATTAAATGTCATTGTTACTCAGTTTAACCTATTTCTGAAGCATTCAAACCCATTCATCACCTTGAAAATGATAAAGTAATTGGATTTTTTTCACACAGTTGAAGGACAAGATATTTCCCATATCAGTAGATGAAAACCGAGAGTTCGGAAAAGTCTGCAGCGAGATGAAAGTCTGATAAAACTGCAGATACTTCAGCGGCTTATCAGCCGTTTGTGTCTTTGTGACAACACAGAAGATTCTGAGTCACCATTCATCACAAACGCAAAGGCCTGCACTTTTCTTACAACCGTGAAGAGCTGAGACAAGGGGACGCTCGACGGAGGGCAGATGGAGGATAAAGAGATCTTCAGTCTGATTCAGGATCAGTTAAACTCACAGCAGTACTTAACATTTCTCTGGCTCTTCTGTCTCCGTGCTGCCCGATGACGTAAATATTTTTACATTTTTGTTCACCAGAATGGATGAAGCAACCCAGCCATGTTACTTTGAATAAGTACAATGCAGCACAAGGATTTAATGTAAGGAGTGATAACTAATAACTCATCAACGCATCAAGTGTTTTTTTTACATGGCATCACGTGAAGATATTGAAAAACGTCCACAATCATGTGAGAAATGTGAAAAAAACATGTTTCACGTCCCAAACTGAAGTGTTTGAGGCCCCAGGAGCAGAATGTTTCCTACTGAAACATGGCGTATGCTTTAATCAAGAAAACAAGGTACAAATAAATCCTGATGTTTGAAACGGTCTGTACGTACACATAAATCCAGCTGTTTGAAGCCATGCGTACGTACAAATAAATCCAGATGTATGTAACCATGTACACACAAATAAATCCAGATGTTTGAAACGGTCTGTACGTACACATAAATCCAGCTGTTTGAAGCCATGCGTACGTAAAAAGTACAAATAAATCCAGATGCTTGAAACCATGCATACACACAAATAAATCCAGATGTTTGAAAACGTGCATACACACAAATAAGTCCAGGTGTATGAAACCATGCATACGCACAAATAAATCCAGATGTATGAAACAGTGTATGCACAAAGAAATCCAGATCTTTGAAACAATGCATATACA